GCTATTAACTCCTTCTGAGCATGATTCATATGTTAGTCATCTTGGTGCACCCAGCTCCTAGAAGTGTCTTGTCTAGAGCAGACATGTAAGCGAGGGCTGCTTGAAATACAGATTGTCACTGACCATCGTTTACCTAGTAAGACAGAATAGGCAATTCATTCAACCATTTGCCGGTATAACAGGAATCAAAGGTGGGACCAGAGTGATGGCTCAGTGCTTAAGAGCATTTGTGGCTCTTCTAGAGATCTGGGTTCAATTCCCAGCAACCACATGGGGGCTCACCAGCATCTGTAACTCCAGTTCTAGAGGATCCAGCAACCTCTGGTCTCCATGGGCATTGAGTGTACATGGTGTGCAGACATGCATGCAGGCAAGACACTCATACATACAAAATAAAATAATTTCTTTAAAAAAGAATCCAAGAATATGTTAGATAGAATACTCATCTGTAAGACTGTTTTGCTTAAATAACAGAGCTATGAATTAAAAATATGGCAAATCTGATGTTTTTGTAAAAACACTAATGACTTATATCTAGTGAGTGAGCTATAAAAATACTGATATTTACATTTGAGCCATGCATTTAAAGTCAATAATAATTAGTCATAATACCAATATATTTAGAAGGATGGTTAACAGGGAGCACAATTTTTAATGCTAACATAAATTATTTAAAACTAGTTTATAAAATGATTATTTTTTCAATATTTATAAATTAGAGTGCAGAATTATTCCATGTCATTGAGTACAAGTCTGAAGTTCCAGAATATTCACTCTGTCCATTGCTGCTGTACAAGGTTATAAATAGATCACAGAACGCTCTGTGTTTTCAGGTCAGTACAATCTCTTGTCAACATGAGCTCCACTTTGCATGACCTCGAAGCACTGGGGAGCGGCTATCCTGCCCAGTGCTGATTAGAATAAATATCTGAAAGACACTAGCTGAACTTCCGGGGTCCCTTTCCACAGGCATTGGGTGCCGGTACCAACAACAAAATCGGCTCTTTAGGAAGACTATATTGTACGCTACCTGGACATCAACTCACGCTTATTCAGAGAAAGGCCTTGTTAATACAACGCAGCTAACATCAGCAGGTAACAGTTTAGGCAGAAACGTTAGAGAGGCATTCATCAAACATGAGAAGGAGACGCAGTGGTTCATGCCTGTACCCCCAGCACTCAGGAGACAGAAATCAAAGGACTGCCATGAATTTGAGACCAACCCAGGCCAGAGTGAGTTCTAGGCCAGCCTGGGCCACAGAGTGAGATCTTGTTTATTTGTTTGTTTGTTTTTAAGTAAATAAGTGATACTGGTATAAACTGAACAGCAGGCGTGCTCAACAGCAAATGGAAACGGTTCAGGTAAACTCAGCTCAAACGAGGGAGAATCAGGAAGCGGCCCCAAGCTCCTGACAGCACATGGGCTGGACTCAGGAAGTGGGCCTCGCCCCTCACTCATGGGAGAGATACAGTTGCCAAGGTGAGGGTGACCGTAACCCAGGGACGGCTCGTGCCCAGGTTCCTCTTTCCAGGGAGAAGTGCCCGTGAGTGCAGGGAACCCATGGAGCCACCTCACCACCTCTGCACATGCAAATGAGAAAATTCAGACCCCCTCATGTTTCATTGTTCAATATCCAGTTTCAATTGAAACAAAATGCTCTGGGCGCTTGATCACATAATGTATTGAGCTGATTCAGCAAGTATTTACTGAGCTCACCCACTATGGCAGATGCTGTTCAGCTGCCGGGACACAAGAAAGTGGCCAAACAGTTGGGGACCCGACCTGCTTGGGGCTCCTATGTGCTGACTGAAGCACATACAGAAAAACACCCGGATAAAGTCCACAGTGTCGCCTGCAGGGCTGAGTGATATGGAACGAACTTAGGAAGGAGCATAGCGCCATCTCAGCTGGGTGACGGAGCAGGGACCGCCGGGAGGTGCCAGGTGCCAGGAAGTTACCTGGGAGAAGTGTGTAGGGGACAGCAGCTGCCGGGCAGGAATCACACTTGGGGCACACACACATTCACATCTACAACCTGTGTGGCTGGAACTCAGGGCATGAGAGGATGCTACTGAAAAGGTAAATGATGCTACTGAAATGTAAAATGAGGTGCCTGTGGATCTGTGGATATTGGGATCCTGGGTTCAAAGTAAACCCAGGCTAGGAACGAAAGTGTGTGTGTGTGTGTGTGTGTGTGTGTGTGTGTGTGTGTGTGTGTGTGTAGTACGTGCATGTATGCATGTATGTATAAGCATGTGTGTGTATGGGATCCCTTCCCTTATACATGCATGCACATTAGTAAAAACGATTCTGAAAGTGGAGTCCAAGGTCTGGGCCTCAATAAGGAGTCTGGGCAAAGTGGACAAATTGAGAGCACAGAGTATCAGTTGCTGTGAGAAGAAAGCCAAGTGAGTTTCCAGAAGCCAAGTAGGAAAACATCAGGAAGGAGGTGATGATGATCCTGGGCCACCGGGCTGTATTTTGTTTAACAGAGAGGAAATCACCAGTGACAGGCCAAAGGAGTGATGGGTTCTAGAGAGCATAGAAGACACAGACTTCAATGACACCAGGGCCAGTCACCTGGCTGGAGAGTAGACATACCCCTTAGGCCTGGCTGCTTATCAGGATGGCAATGGAACTCAGTCACATCCCTCTGAGAGCTGTAGGCCGTGGCTTCCGCTGCCTAAGGCTGCTTCTCCAGCCTTGTACATCATACAGTCATGGGGAGTCTGTCCACACTTAAAATACTAGACAGTTTGAGTTTCCCAGCCCTTCATTTCTTTTTATTTTATATATATATATAAATCAGGCTTGGCGTCAGGTGCCAGTGCTCCAACATTTCATTTCTAAAGCATTCTAAAAAGCACTTTAACATAGAAACATATCTATTTTATCCATGGTCTGCAGAAGATTCTGGGTGAACTTGTCACCATTGTTTAAGATGAGGTCACAAAGAGTCAAATCCCTTCTTAATTAAGGGGCTCAGCAGTTCATAAAGTATAGAACACCTCACTCATGTCGCACCTCACTAGTGACTACATCGTCCTGTCCTACCTCAGTCAACATTGGTTGTTTTTTTAAATGTGTATATTCAGCATGGACCAGAGTTTATGTATGTATGTATACCATGTGTGTGCACCAGGTAGGTCCTCTGGAACTGGAGATATAGGCAACTGTGAGCCATGCAGCGTGGGTTTGAGGAATCAAACCCAGGTCCTCAATAAGTGTTCTCAGCTGCTGATCCCCTCTCAGTTTTATATCACGAACTTTGTAATATTTTATGGTAGACAGATTAATGACCTCCAGAGGTGTCTACACCTAACACTCCAAACATGGGAACTTCTCAACCTTCCGTGGGAGGGAAGAGGAGCTCGTCATGCGTGATAGTGCTGGCTCTTGAGGTGGAACCACGGTCCTGAGTTTTCTGGGGAATCCAAAGCAAACAAGGTGGCATGTAGGGGTTGGGCAGGGATGGCCAAGTCAGAGATGTGCAGATGGAAACAGCCTGGAGAACAGGCCAGAGCTCGGGGCAGATTCTCAGCTATATCCTCCAGAAGAATGCAGCCTGGCCACACTGAGTTTTGGTGCTGCGGGTGCGTTTTCTGAACTTCTGACTGCAAGAAACAGCATGCCTATATATAAGCCACTCAGCTTGGGATAGTTTGTTCTGTCAGGGTTGGGAATGAGTGGCAGACTTTCTAACATAAGGAAGACTGAAGGAGATCGCAGAGCTGAGAGAATAACCCCTGTGAAGCCACCGACAGTAGGTGTCCCACAGCACGCAGGGTCAGCCCTGAAGACTTGGAAGCTCTTTGTGATAGAAACACACTTTCACATTGTCACAATGTAGGGGAAGTGCCCGTCGCTAAACTGAAAATAGACAAAGAATTATCTGGGCAATGGTTCATCTTCTGTATGGCTGCCCTCAAATCACCCCTAAAAATGAATGTACACCCTATGCCTGAGGTGTCTGAGAGGAGACACCCTTGGGTGCTGTGTGCGTGTGCTGTTTCCAGTCAGAGTCCTGATCCTTTATGACTTCCACTGACAGGGAGGAACATTTCTTTTTATACTTGGTGCAAAAGTAAGATAAAGGATTTATTTGTAACCAGAACTCCTTTGTTCACAAAAACGGTATTTGTAAACGTTTACTTACACACATATTGTTGTAATCTATCTTAAAGGAAGTCAGTAGTTGGCAAAGATGGTTGTAGTAGGCATCTTGCTTAAAAAATCCTTCATAATTCTAAATAATTTAGCTAAAGGAAGACATAATTTAACTACTCAGAGTCAAACTGAGTAATTAGGTTAAAAAATATATACCAGCTTGATTTTCTGCCTATTTGATAACTTGACTTAAAGATTGATTCTTCAATGTCAAATTCAGTTCTGCAGAATTCTGAAAGCCATAGGTGTGTGTGTGTGTGTGTGTGTGTGTGTAATTATGTGTATGCAATATTGATTAAAATCTGAAAATATGGCCATTAGATTTTAAGTGAATTGGTCACATCCAAATTATTTTAAATGACAAGTTAAATATCCTCCTGTGGTTGAAACAGTATGACATGTTCCAAAGTAATAGTATACCTATTTCTCTCTCTCTCTCTCTCTCTCTCTCTCTCTCTCTCTCTCTCTCTCTCTCTCTCTCTC